CAGCAGCAGCAGCAGCAGGAGGTGGGGCCCCTGAATGGCGTCTGTATCTGCATGCAGGGTTGTGTGGGGTTGTGTTGGGGGGCCGCGGGCTGCTGCGGCTGGTTGAGGGAGAGAGGGAGGTGCATGTACACCTCAGCAGGGGTTCTGTATTCTCTGTCCCCCCCCTCATCGCTCATCTTTTTGCTGCTGCAGCAGACACGCCGCTCGTGCTGTTTGTTGTTTATGCCCCTCCACTTACACTCCATACACTCACAAACAACAGCAGCAGCAGCAGCAGCAGCAGCAGCAGCAGCAGCAGCAGCAGCAGCAGTGGGTGCAATGCCAGTGCGGGAACAGCAGCCGGCGGGATGTGCTATGCAGGCACATACACCACAGGGCTTGCTGCTGCTGCTGCTGTGCAGCAGCAGCAGCAGCAGCAACTGCAGCAACAGCTGCAGCAGCAGCAGCAGCAGCAGCAGCAGCAGCAACATGTTGTGCAGCAGCTGCAGCAACTCTCCTTAAAGCACGTAACGGCCAATTGGGAGCTGCAGCTTAATGCAGCAAATACAGCAGCAGCAGCAGCAGCAGCAGCAGCAGCAGCAGAAGCAACACCATTAGACAGGCATGACTCTCCGCGGCAGCAGCAGCAGCAGCAGCAACAGCGGCAGCAGCAGCAGCAGCAGCAACAGCAGGGGACTGACCCATGGGCATTCGAAGAGACGGGGGGCTCCCCGTAGGGGCCCCCAGGGAGACCTGAGGCGCTGGCGCTCCTGCATGTATGCAGCAGCAGCAGCAGCAGCAGCAGCAGCTGCTGCTGCTGCTGCTGCTGCTGCTGCTGCTGCTGCTGCTGCCTTTGGTGATGCAGGAGGATGGAGGGAGACAGTGGAGCAGCTTGTTTTGTCTTTGTGTTGCTGCTGCTGCTGTCTGTCTCTGTCTTTATATTTATATTTATATTTATAATTATATTTATATATATATTTATATTTATATATATATTTATATATATATTTATATTTATATATATATTTATATATATATTTATATTTATATTATTTTCTTTATTATCTTCTTTATGCTGCAACGCAGCTGTTTTGGTGTTTGGTTTTGGGGTGTATGTACACCTGATCCTCAACAGCAGCAGCAAAAAGAAGAAATAAATAAAAATATAAAATAATATAATATATTATAATAAATATAAAATAATAGAAAATAAAACCATAGAATATACAATAAAAACTTAAATTTATTTAGCATGTATTGTCTTCTTGTTTTTGTTTGTTTGTTTGTTTGTTTGTTTGTTTGTTTGTTTGGCTTCCGTCTGTATACAGACGCCCTAAACACTTCTCCTTTGCATGCATGCATGCATGCATGCATGCATGCGTGCAAGTATTTATGTATGCATGCATGCATGCATGGATGCTTATAAAGATATATGCATGCATGCATGCATGCATGCAAGTATTTATGTATGCATGCATGCATGCATGCTTATAAAGATATATGCATGCATGCATGCTTATAAAGATATATGCATGCATGCATGCAAGTATTTATGTATGCATGCATGTATGCGTGCTTATAAAGATATATGTGTGCATGCATTTTGCATGCAGTGATATATGTATGCATGCATGCATATAAAAGATACATACTTGCATGCATGCATGCATGCAAGCAAGCATGCATGCATGGATATATGCATGCATGCATGTATAAAAAGCCATATGCATGCATGCATGCATTTTTGCATGCAAGGATACATGCATGCATGCATTTTTGCATGCAAGAATATATGCATGCC